GTTAGAGATTGAACTAACAGATTCTGCAGAGTGGGAGAATAGAGATAGAATGAAGCAGAATTATGAAAAAGGGGTCCCTATGTCCTCCAGCAGACTAAGCCTATAGCAGCATAATTATAGAGATGGAATGAAGCTGAATGGATCCCCCCAGCAGTGTATAGGTCACCGGGCATTGGTTGGACAACCATGAACACTCTCAGCCACTTCATCATAAGGTCATCCAGCATTTTGGACTGACCATCCAAACTCAGTGATTGTTTTAGGCCTGAACCCGGGACTCTCTCACCGCACTGCAGCAGCATGCAGCCTCAGCAGGTTCTGCTTCCAAGGAGAGCCAGGAGGTAGACAGGATCAGGCTGAACAAGCCAAAGATTTCCATTAGATTTCTGTCGAAATGGATTGTTGGAGTTGAGATACACTCGCTTCCTTTTTCATCACATCTTGGCCTCACAGCTCTGACTCTGCCTGAGCCTCAGTGGCTTATTTGATGTGGAGTCGGACATCAGAGGCAGTCCTAGTCTGTCCAAATTCATCATGTTGAAGCACACCAAATATGGAAGAAATACAGACACTTAGATGGACATTCTACTAAAGCTCATTTATTTCAGTAACTCCCAACAGTAAATAGACCAGATTATGCAGATTCCTCCCAGTCAGATGTTTTCAGGCCATCTTTCCATCTTACAGATGGAGAAACGTCGATTTAAAAAACAAGCTTCTTTACCGGGTTGTAAATCTTCTAGTTTCTTGCATTTTATGTTGTGAGAACTAAACTAAGCCAGGTTTCCTGGTAGAGACGGTGGTGATGGATATCACAGAAAACTATTATTAAGTTGAGTCTACTAGACTGCTTTTAGCATTAGCAAACATTTACCCCTCCGGTCCAGAAGGACAGCTCTGTATGGTTTCTGAGCCTCCCTGCTTCCTGTAGTCAACAGCAACGAAGACTGACTGATGTTTTATCAGAACTATGGAGCTTAAGGAAAGCTTTTACTGACTGATAATTCAGTGTTCAGGCGGATGCACCGTGAAAATGTATCAGAGCTGCTACTGTGGATCTAGATTTTAACGGTGGGACTACCTGCAACTGCGTCATCAGGTTAGAGCTAATCGGATAATTACGGATCCAACGCCAAACTATAAGCGGCTCGCTCTGTTTTTGTAATTTTGTTGTCTGTGAAACATGTAGCTCAAAAAATAGCAAATATGTCCTTTTTTATGACATCAAAGATGTTTGTTATTAATGTTTAAGGTCATTTAAACATTGCTCCGTTGTGATCAGGCTTTTAACTAGCAATGCGTACAGGCGTACATTGTATGACCTTTACTAAAAAATATTAGAAATTGTACTCCCTGTTTTTTGGGATGTATGGCTTCGGTACGCCCTCATTTTTTCCCTGGAAACTTTGTTCAACTGTTCAACGTTTCACAGGCAGCAGAAATATTGAACTTTAGCTGCTGGACGCGCCACATCAACCAATCAGAGGAGCTGATGTATGAGCTGGCAGGGAGACAGACACAGCACTGCTGATGCACAGTGCTATGATCACTTCTCTAAAACAGTTTATTAACGCCTAAATTTACCTAAAATGTAGAAACCTGCCGGCAAAACGTTCACTTTTATTATCCTGGTGCCTGCAGTTTTTAGCACATACCTGAAAAACATCTACTTCCAGCCGCCACAAACAGAGGCGAGCGGGTCTGAGGCAGCTGCTGTTGGGGATTCCCAGTGACGCCCACCGGTATGTGGGGGTCTGAGCGGCTCCCACAGAGAAATATTTGAAGGCAGGATGGTAATCTGGATGAACTGACTGCACAGACCATGTTTTCAGGAGGACTTTCTCACTTCAACATAGATTCACACTACTTTTTACCCACTGATCACAGCTAATATAGCAAAGCTGCTCTCTGCATTGAACACAGGAGCAACAGAAGCATCAGACCCATCTGGACAAACTTTACTGGACTTCTGATCTTAATGTAGATAAGCAGCAGAAATGAAGCAGCAGAAGCTTCTTTGATGGCATTCAGTCTGAGAGTAGCATCAGACATACTGATTGTTTGAATTAACCTATGAAACATAATATTGTTCCTAAAAATGAGCTTCTTATGAAATTTCCACCTCTAGTCAAACACACATACTTCACATAATCAGGACTAAAATAGTATTGGAACAAAGACAAAGTTTAGCTGCATTCCACCTCTAAATGCAGGAAATAACATTTCGGAGTCTAAATTTCAACATTTTCTGGGGGAGGATCCCCCTCAACCCTCCTACGCTGAGCAAAGGCTAAAGATGTTATACACCAAGGTGAACACCCTTTGGAATATTCCTTGATAAAAGCCTGGTTGCAATCAGCATATTGCTATCATGCTAGCAGAAAGGTGCAGAGTGTGATGCATGGTAAAGTCCCACCTTCATGCTTTACCAGACTTGATGATGCCCCGTTAATTCAGTCTGGCTGGCCGGGCTAAGGGTTCAGTGTTTAGTCTCCTCAGGAAAAGACGGGCTACTAAACTAACCCCCAGATTCCACATCCTCTGTCGCCTCTCCGCTCTCGTACGTCATGCAGAGTATTTGTCTGTCACATTAACCAATGAGAGCTGTTCCACATCCACTGCTACTCCTCCGCATGTTTCCGTCCACATACACCTTACGGAGCTGAGCTACTTTTTACTCCGCTCCGGTTCCGGCCAGGTCAAGATCCGCAATTTCAATCGCACCAAACGGGAAAGAGAAGGTGGAAGAGATCCGGTTTGTCTAATGAAATTATAGTAACAACGCATCAGTCACTACAGATTAGAGCATAATTTGTATACATTCCCAAAAACTAAGACTGTTTATTTAAATGATTGGATGCAAACTATTGGTACTTCAACAGACCAGGAAGCAGATTTGTCATCTACGTCACAATATTTATTTTATATTGAGAGACTTAAAAGTTTAATCAAATCCATTCACAACAGCTTCAAAAAGCGCTTCTCAAAACTTCCAAACAAACTTCTTATCTCAGGCCTGGATGAAGAGATGCTGAGTTTGGAGGCAGAGAGCAAACATAGTTCATCCAAACCATGGATGATCCTAGTTAGAAAAATCCACAACAAAAGGAAAATATCTGGGCAGAAACTGCACACATGCTGGATGCTGGTGGGGATTTTTTTTAATATGTCATAATAAATGAAGCGTTAATTTCTGCATGTTTTGCTCCCATGCGTTTAATAATAATATAGTGCATGCTCTCCTTGAGCTCCAAGCAAGTCAGAGCGGAGCAGGACGGGAGGAACAGGGAGGCTGTAGGCTTTGCTTTGGGCAGTTGGCCTGGAACGGGGCGGGGCGGTGACGGAGGTTGTGGGATTTCGGGGTTAGGAGCAGCTTCAGAAAGACGCTCCCCCTTCAAACAGGGGGAAAAAGACAAAGCAAATCTAGGATGATTAATTGATGCAGAGATGTTTGTCTCAGCGGGTATTTCAGCAATCCTGTAGCAGCTCTGGCTGTTACAAGGCTGTGTCGATGTGTTTCCAAGGGGACAAAACCCGCCTGTAGATATTGGCATAGAAAACAATCTGTTTCTGTTGGCAGAATTTGCTTTGAATTGTCTAAATTTACTGACACGCTTTGGACCCTCTGTTTCAGAATGCCTTCTTGAAGTATGATGCAGAGACGTGGGATCCTTCAGCAATGGGTTCATGGCCTCTATGAAGACTCGTCAAGGCATGGTGATCCTGAAGGAAGGGGCGACTGCCCCCGCTGCAGCTCCAGCAGCTGATCACTCGCCTGCCGGCCTCGTGACTTTGAGAACAGGAAAGTTCCAAAACGTCACGGCTGTTCAGGGCATCTCTGTGTCCATTGGCGAAAAAAAGATTACCAAGAAAGTCAAGATGCTCCCCGCTAAGGAGGCCGCGGTGAAGATGGGCGAACTGAAGCATCCCAGCAGCCTAAACGTTCCCTCTGGCTTCATTCCACCTGACTGTATCTGCAAAGGTGTCAAAGTGACGCTAGACAACAACAGCATGTGGAACGAGTTCTTTAAATGCAGGACGGAGATGATTCTGACCAAACAAGGCAGCAGAATGTTCCCGTATCTCCGCTTCCACATCTCTGGCCTGCAGCCATCCAGGAAGTACTCTCTGATGATGGACATTGAGCCTTTGGAAAACAGTCAGTACAAGTGGACGGGTGAGAGCTGGCAGGTCTGCAAAAAAGCGGAGTGCTATGTAAAGAGCAAACCTTTTGTTCACCCAGATTCCCCAGCAACAGGTCAACACTGGATGCAGAGTCCAGTTTCCTTTTACAAACTGAAACTCACTAACGACATTTCAGAGCAGGAGGGGAACATCTTCCTTCGTCCAATGCAGCGGTATTTACCGCAGCTCCACCTGGTTCCTGCAGACCGCGCTGGAGAAGACCTCAGGCTGAATGCTCCCAATGTCCTCACGTTCACTTTCCCCCAGACTGAATTTATGACCGTCACCTCCTACCAAAACCCCCAGTTTACTCAGCTGAAGGTTAACTACAACCCATTTGTGAAGAAACTGAAGGAGGACAAGGTCAACTCATGCGGCCTAAAACCGACGGGCACCTCGAGCAAAGACTTGAATGGTAACGAAGGCAAGGCGAACTCTGAGCTGCATCCTATGAAGAAGAACTTAAAGGTATTACTAGCAAACCATAAGCTGCGACAAAAAGCATCGGACTCCAAAGTTTCAGCACCAAAAGAGCCGAGTGAGGAATCTAGGAGCAGCGATGCCGGCGTTCCGGAGGAATGTCCGAGGTAAGTCCTGTCCGGTTGATGGAGGTTATATTCATCAGAAACCATAAACCTAAGAGTAAACCCCTGCATCGGTCCTTTCACCTATGGGCGCTGACATTTGGTGGCACCATCTTTGGGCAGTCCACAGCTCTGCTCTCTAATGTGTTGAACAGGAACAGAACTAATTAAATCAACTTTAACTCGCTGAATATTGAACTCATTCTCACAGATTTGTTTTTTTGCAGAAAACACAAATTGTTCATTGTATTTGAATATTCTCAGTGGGGTTAAGAGTAATAGAATATTGTGATAGGATGGGTGCATGTTGCAAAGCACAGCCACTGATACATTGTTATAATGTTTTATTGCTATATACACAAACAAATGTATACAGGTGTACACAGATATATGTACATATATCTTTTGAAAGAGAGAGAGAGAAATGTATGTACACTACCGTTCAAAAGTTTGGGGCTACATTGAAATGTCCTTATTTTTGAAGGAAAAGCACTGTACTTTTCAATGAAGATAACTTTAAACTAGTCTTAACTTTAAGGAAATACACTCTATACGTTTCTAATGTGGTAAATGACTGTTCTAGCTGCAAATGTCTGTTTTTTGGTGCAATATCTACATAGGTGTATAGAGGCCCATTTCCAGCAACTATCAGTTTAGTGTTCTAATGGTACAATGTGTTTGCTCATTGGCTCAGAAGGCTAATTGGTGATTAGAAAACCCTTGTGCAATCATGTTCACACATCTGAAAACAGTTTAGCTCGTTACAGAAGCTACAAAACTGACCTTCCTTTGATCAGATTGAGTTTCTGGAGCATCACATTTGGGGGGGTCAATTAAACGCGCTAAATGGCCAGAAAAAAACAAACTTTCATCTGAAACTCGACAGTCTATTCTTGTTCTTAGAAATGAAGGCTATTCCATGCAAGAAATTGCAAAAAAATTGAAGATTTCTTACAACGGTGTGCGCTACTCCCTTCAGAGGACAGCACAGGCTACTGCAGGTACTATTTAATGAAGATGCCAGTTGGGGACCTGTGAGGCGTCTGTTTCTTGAAATAGAGACTCTAATGTACTTATCTTCTTGCTCAGTTGTGCAACGCAGCCTCCCACTTCTTTTTCTACTCTGGTTAGAGCCTGTTTGTGCTTTCCTCTGAAGGGAATACTACACACCGTTCTTCTGTTCTGCTTAAACCAGCCAATCAAAGCCATGGGAAGACTAGCCTGCTAACAGAAACAAACTGAACATCAGTCCGAGTCCTAAAATGTTCCTTCTTAATATCTGTTGGTGTTTTGATGTTCCACAAACGCCCTCTGACCGTCATCTGTCATCCTGTAGAGTCATGCTGCTCGTCTGGATTAGATTAGATCTTCTTTTAATGAAGTACGTAGATCCATCCTCTATTTCCTCAGTCCTCATTCCAAATTATTACTAATTCAAATATGTCTGCCATGGACCCTTCTTTGTACAGATTCTTGTACCCATAAGGGGGTTTGGGGATTTCAGACCCCAAAAAAAAGGTGAAATCTTCCCACACACATTCCAATCCTGACCAGTTGTACAGCTGTCCTGGAAAAAATGCTGTAGAAATGCGGCGAGGATCCAAGAGGTGCGGCTGCAGGTGCAGAGTGATGTCATGTTCTAACAGAACAGTTCTGGTGGCGGATGAAGTGAGCCGTACTCAGCCGTCCCTCTGGTTTGTTCCCAGCATCCCTGCAGAGTCTGGGCCTGATCCTGAGGAGAACCTCGTCTGTTTCCAGACACCCACCTGCTTTCTGTTCAACGTTACTCTTTACTTTTCTACGTAAAGCTTTCCTTGTGTTTAGATCGGGGGGGGGGAAAGTAAATTCCTGTTTGAAAAAATAGTTTAAAGGAAAAGTCCGGTCAGCAGGGAATAATCAACAGATCATTATTTATACTTAAAACTAATACTTTAACCGTGATTTAATGAATTTAGCGTTAATCAGTAAATAAAATAAAAATAACAAACTTTGTCACGATCACTGAGTCTGGGAGCGGCCATTTTTGCCCAAATATAGTAACCCCTCCCTCCTGCCATCTTCCAGCAGTGAGGTCACGGTGCGGTAAGTCTAGCGCCATTCTCCCCGCTTTACAAGCAAAATCAATGGGGACTACTAGAAACATCTGCAATCAA